CCACTAGGACACCAGGACATGTGGTTGTCCACCAGGACAATTCCATGTGGTTGACTTGCTCCTTAGTTTGGAGTTTGTGGTTTTTTTGGTATGTTTCTTTTAAAAGAAAAATCAGTGCAATGAGTTAACAGTTCTTCACAGCACTGTTTTGAGAACAAATGGATACTAGCTTAAAAGTGGGTACACTCCCTTGAAAACATTTGACCTCAGAGAAGACTGAAATAGCTGTCAAACTAATTTTTGCCAATCTACAGCCGCTGCATATGCGATATACAAGAAACAGACTGATTCCCAGAAAGCAGAGAGAAAACTGTGGGCATGCCCCTGCAGTCCACCAAGGTTTTAGCAGTGATTATCAAATGCAATTTCATCAGCTTAAGTATCAAACTAAGAAATAGTTTGTGTAGAGCTTCAATGTGAAGTTCTATAAACACTAAGAAGCTCCTCTGCTTTGTGTGAAAATACATAAGAGTTTTGGCTCTGGACACAGCAAAACCAGATTAATTCTTAACAGTGTAGAGCACCCAAGCATCCAATTCCTTTTTAATCTCATTTTGAATCCAAATCTAGCAGTTCTACCATCTGTTTCCACTAGAAAGCTTTCCCGACCCTAGAATGTTGTCTGGAAATGGTAAGAAAACAGCACTTACTAAACAGACTCCCAGAACAGGAAACAGAAGCCTCTACTTCCTTTTAGAAATGTGGAAGTAGAAAATGCGATGGTTTCTAACCCTTAGGATGCAGCATTTTGTAGGCATGAGTGCTGAGGAGGCCTACCACCTCCTGTCTTGCATTTTTCATCTGGGTGATGCTAACCTTCCACGTAATTACTGTAGCCCTTCTGCTGAAACTGGGCCAACATCCAGTAAAATATGCAAGAACTGCTAGCTGATGAAGAGGAGGCTCTGACCCACTTCTGTGAGCTCTCTGAAGAAACGAGACAGACTTAATTCCCTCTGCTGAAGACAGCACTGATCCAGGGTCAGTGCTCCAGCTCATGAACTAGTAACTGAATGTGAAAGCTGATTACACACATGCTATGGCACACTTTCTCTCTCAGGAAGTAGGTGATTTGTGCCAAGTTTAAATTAAATATAACATGAAGTAACACAATACAGGTGTCACATCTGAGACAGGGTTCTAAGCTGTGAACAGTAGAGGAAGACGAATAACCAGGCACAAAATTAAGAGCCTTACGGTGCACCTGCCCTCAGAGCTTCCTGATAAGCTAGCTTTAGGTAACTCTTCATGCAGCACTTGGACTTCAGCAACAATCTACTCCGCATGCTATTCTGGAGTGGAGGTTAATGCCCCAAGTCAGCTGATACCCAAAGGGATCCCAGATACCCATCTCACAGCTCTGAATTTCACTCTGCACACAAAGTTTAGTATTCGCAATTTTCAGTGCTGCAGCACTTTGGTATCTTTAGTCAGAAGATTACATCAGTACTCTTTTGACATCAATATATTTACTGTATGAGAAGAACCCTCTCCTACCCAAAACTGCACACAAGTTAAAGATCCAAGTCTTCTTCAACACAACCAAACTAATTGGTATCAAACTTCAAAGGTAGGATTTAGGAAATTCTATCTATCTAAAAAGCACCAAAAAAGGTTCAAGCAATTGTATTTTCCTCCTTAAGAATTTAACATTGTTTAGCAGAGGAAATAAAAAAATGGATACTATTCTAGAGTTGTATTTACATCTGTGTACACAGATCAATATATTTAAGACAAAAACAAGTTTAAAAAAAGGATTAAATTAAGCTTCCAATTCATTAACACTTTGCAAATTTGGAAACTGTGTTATTCAGAAGACTTACATTAGAATTAATTCTAGTATCATCTCGTATAATTCAAGGAAATTTTAAAAACTATATTCTGCATATCTCAGAGTAAACTCGAGAAAACAGTGCATTTATGTTCGTATCCTAGTTATTTGTGCCCTCTGGTGGAAGTATGTTTATTTTGAACATGCCATGTAGCTCACGATTGTCCTAGGAGACAATTCTAACGCACTAAGTCCATCAGAAAAAACGCCAAAGAAGAAAAAAGCTGAAGATCTTGATGTTGTTCAATGCACTATTTCTATGCATTTAATAATGCATGGAAGAAGCGTTGTGGGGGGAAGAAAAAGATAATGCAATATTTAGTTTCAAACAATCCAGTTCTTACCTGATCTAAGCAGTCGACAACCTTTGCACACAGGAGAGCTCCTGGCAGGTCAAAATAATTGTCATATAAATAGTATTTAGCTGAAAGAAAAAAGAAACCCATAATAATTTTTTTAAATCCATATTGCACGCTTTAATCACAAATAAAAATACATTTAAAAATAATAGTACGAGTTCCTATCTGCATTTTACTGGTAATAGCACCATCTGCTTCCCAATCTCTGTTAGCCTTTATTCCCACTTCTTATTCTAGTAATCGGCAACTGAAAATTTTTCACCTATATCAAGGCAGTGAGATTTTAAAAATACATTTTAACGTCCTAAAAGTTAAGGTGGAAGAGATGGGAGAGAATCATGAGTTTTAAGATTCAGGACAGTATCACACAGCAATTCCAAAACATCTATTTCCCTAGCAGTGGAAACACAATGAAAGGGTTTGAGAAGCTGTTTCAGAAACATTTGGACAGGTCTCACACATCGTCTTGTCTTTTGCATACACGTGCTGCAGACAGCTCCTTAGCCCAAGCAGAAGCACATCCACATTATTAAGTGAGCCCCCAAAACAGAACAAAATCAGGATGGTACAAATGCCCCCCAGATTAACATCATGTTCAACAACACTTTCCTAGGAGTGAAGTGACTTAACTAATGACATTTTTTGTATTAATGATCTTGTCTGTGCTGTGTCTTAGGTATATTAAAGAACAAGTCAGCAAAAGAGGGATTAACATTCACAAGAGAGACCCAGTGCATATTTCAATTAATAAGAAAGGCACATTTGCTGCATGACCAAAGGAAACGTTTCTGCAAACCTTGTTGCAAACGATTACCTGCAGTTTAGAATAAGCATCACAAGCATATGTCAGCAAAATCTCAAGGAAAATTTCTCTGTTAGATAGGACAATGAAACATAACTTAGCACGTTTTGTATACTACTTAAAATTGCCAAGATCAAAGTAAAATGGAGAGGAAGCACAGAGCAGCTAGCAAGAACACAAAACCAGTGCCTTCAAAGTGACTATCTTAAAACGAAGAAACTTCAATTGCAGGAGGAGTTTTCTTCCAGAACTGCTCTGTTCTTTGCACCTGCATCTAGGCTGCCAGTAGAAGCACTGACAGCAATGAGTCAACAACTAAGAAAAAAATGAGTTTTACCAAATACGTCCTGAATGAGGTAGGCTGGTAATCTCAGTCTACTTCACCGAGGAACATCTCCAAAACACACCTATAATGTCAGCTCATTTCTCTCATCACTGGTGACATGAATTTGAGTTGAACGCTAGTATTAGAAGCTGAAAAAAAGAAAATCCACCACAAAAAAACCCCAAACCAAGTCTCCCCAAAACATTTACATATTCCAGTAGTTCTCAGCTCAAGTATTTTAAAATGTGTGGTAAGAACTAGTACTATAAGGCACTGAAGGAGCCAGAGCAATTTCAAAGAGGTCATGCTAAGGTATAACTACCTGAGCGGGAAACCATTCCACTGACTGTGTTAAAATGCTTCCACTCCCTCCTTCCATATGTCTCCAGAATCTCTTCGGATGTCATGCTCTTTGTACCATGGCTTGCCCTATTTGATGCATTAAGTTATTTATATTAAAAAAAAAAGAAAGAAAAAGGTTGAAAACAGCCAAACTACTCCTAGTGCACAATAATGCACTGCAACTGAACACTAAGGTGCATGCAAGTTGATCAGAAGTAACTCCCTTTATAATTTAAAAGCTTAGGTCCTGGGAAAATTCTATCATATACATCACAGTCCTCGATAAATGTCCGACTACATAGAGGTTTGGTTGGCTTGGGACACAGCTACTGTGCCTCACCTGCTAACACAATCACTCTGTATTGTTCGAATGTTCTCAATTGTGTGAGGACACTCGCTATACTTGAACTATCAATATACGCTGCACAATAAAACACAGTGCAGAAAGCCTATACATCATTCTGAAACCCGGTAACATTCAGAGAGTGGAGGGCAGAACTATGGAAAAGTGCTAGTTAGAGCCCTGCAAGCAGTTGTGCAATACAGAAGTATGCACACGCCTTTTTAGGAATTAAAAATCAACTAGCTTGACACCAAACTGGGCCCCAGAATACACAGACCTTAGTTTTGAAGCAAACGTGGGCAATGCTAGGAAAAGTAAACCTGTACCCTCTTCCCTTTACTATGGTACATCTTCCAATATTGAATTCTGCATTTAGTACTCTGAAATTCATGGTACCAAATCTAGACTCACTTGCTTTCTTTCAATGAGATATGATTTTTCCTAGCATCTTCAAGCTCCTTCTCCCACATGCTAACAGAAAAAAAAAGTAAAGCCTATCTTGAATACTAAATTACATAGATTTTCATTTTGGAATAAAAATAAGGGGGCAAGAGTACTGAGATTGACATACTTTAAGATAGATTTACTTTCCAGATTTGTGCTTCAAAATAGAAGTCTTCTATGTTTAAAAATAAGAAGAGGGAAAGAAGAACAAAGGATGTGCTGAAATGATGACTGAAGGCAAAATACAGCTTTTATGAGGAAAAAAACCCAAACTTTTGAAAGTGAATGTGTCAGTTTATGCATTTAATTTACCTCAGGCTATATAAATTGCATGTTGTAAGCCTGAACAATTTTGAATGTGTACGGTACAAAGATAATAGCACTCTCGTCATTAGCATTAGTTATTAGCGCTGACTCTGAGTCAGGTTAATCACAATTCAAAGAAAAACCTTATCCTGGATCTTAGAACTGGACAGAGTACATTGGTGGCCACTGAAAAAGTGAATTTACTTTTGAGATCATTATGCCCTCAGAGTCTTAGATGTTTATTAAAAATTAAATACTCTTTACTAGCAGCTACCATGGAAATATTACGAAAAAAAGTATATGCAACATTAGGAGAAACTGAGAATTACATTACCAATCAACATTGAAACTTTTACATCTAATCAATGAATGTATGCTGTAATTAGTATTTTAAATATTTAATGAAACTGAGAGATGGTTTCAGAAAAAGGATGAAACTTGTGTCTGTTTAACAATATTAACTTATTGTCACTATTACCTTAAAACTGTTCCATCTTCAGCAAGTTTCAGGAAGTTTCCTTCTTCAATGTCCAACACCAAGCCTTTACAACTAAGAATAATTTTATTTTAGGGAAGAAACAAACAATTAATGCTTTCAGAGGAATGCCTTGTTATATATCAGAATAATGAAATGCAGTTACAGAAGCTATACAATGATGCTGCACAAAAGCAGCAAAATCACAACCCTTCAAGTACTTCCATGTTTGAAAAATGCTCTATATATGTAAATACGTATTACTACAATGAGGACTGGATTTCACTTACACAGCAAATTCCTACTAAATAAATCCAGTTCCATTGTTCGGTAAGCTCAGTGCCTGTTCATATAGGTAAGGTTGGAGGATTAAGGTCCAAACATATACAACTAAGAAATGTGAGATTTAAGACACTTCTATTAAAGAAATACATTTTTTCTTGTTGACAACTCCACTACTTATTATTACTAGGCTGATAACAACAGTTATTGAGGGAGAGAGGGGCAGAACATCATTCTAAATGAGGCAACTGAATATCCAAGAACATGTGAAGCAGAAACATCATCATGCTAGCCAATGCTAACAAGGTGAAGAGCTGACAGCATTGGACAGACATCCAACAACATCCTCCTAACTCTCCTGGTAAAGCACTACCTTACAGATAATTGAATATACGATCACTTAGGTTGTTTAAAAATAATTCAGAGTTCAATGGCTAGAATAATAATGAATAAACGAGATTGAAAAAGTAATGGCACCTTCATCCTCTGTCATAAGGTACCCAAAGGTAAGAAGGCAGCCATGAAGGCAGTGAGCAGACTCCAGCCTTTCAAGAATGATACCTGGGTGAGTACCACAGACACACGGCTACCAGCAATTCAGGCTTGCAGGTCCACATTAATGAACCTCCATCTCCAATAATGGACAGCAGCAGAGATATCTGGATCTTAACAAAGGATTTCATCCATCAGATGTCTTAAAGTATGAAAAATATAGATATGTTGCTTGTCTCATGAAAGTTGAAATCAGTCTTGGAAACTGTCAAGTCAAATACTGAATTGTAAAAACAACCAAACAAAACTGTTGCACAATAATGCGTACATTACTTAAAAAACGCCCCCTGTGTTACTCCTAAGAAATTTAATGATTACCTGGTCTTCAAGCCCCAGCCCCCAGGCTGTGATAATAACCTATTAGTGTTGGAAGATCAGAGATTCACATTCAAGCTCCTGTTCCGAGAGCACTGAACTCGGAGCATTTCAGCCTTCTGCATCACAGCTTTGTGCCTGACCTGCCACCCAAGGGCCACCTCACCTTTCCTCTGTTCCTCGGGTGGCTTGGGGATTACTCTGCCTTACACAAGCAAAACCACATCTGTTGAGATAAGAATTACTAAATTCTCATGGTTACTGGATCTACGAGTTGAATGGAAGGTAGAAGACAAAGGAGATATATAAACTAAGAGAGTAAGTCAAACTAAAAGGCTTGTGTCTAGACTGCTAGAAGGATAGACAAAACAAGATTGGATGCTCAGTTCTCTCTTCAAAATACCACATTAGAGATATCTCATGAGAAATACTTGTTCAAACAAGTATTAAAAACTGTAATTTTGGATTTATCTATTTGGCTTGACAATCATAACCACCATCACCTAATAACAGAAGCTGTTTTCTAAGCTTTGCAAAAATTACAGCATAAAGGAAGTTATGAAGAAAGTTTCTGTTATTTTCAACATACTCACCAGAAGTCTAAGCTTTCTGGAGCTAGAGTCAGCAAGTCTCGGTCATAACCCTTCTCCATTACCAGATAATGGGCAAAACTATCATATATTAGCTACAAATAAAAAAATAGAAGCATTAATTATATCGGTAAGTGAGACCAAAGATACTGCTTCTCTGGAAAGTGGCAAGATGTGAGTGTTACCAAACCAGGGACATAAGGGCCCTGCCCCACTGCTGGGAAATGCCCAAAGGTATTTCTGTCATGGCTGGAAAACAGCTTAAGATGCTCACACAACAGTTCTGGTGCAATGTGTCCAGCATAACCAAGTTTACAGCATTCTACCTTACTGCTCTCCGTGCCTCAAGACTGTTGGGGAACCCAGATGTAAGAACCTCAGACTAGTCACCATTCACCCTCTCCAATCTTTTTTAAATGTCACAGTTATAAAGACTCAACAAGTGACTTCTGAACCAATGAACAAGTACCCTTGGGGACATTTTAAAACTAACTGAAGGAACCTATTTTGAAGGAAAAAGTCAACTACTAAGCAAATTATTACTGTGATTTATTAATGTAAAATGCTAGTAAAGTTGGACAAGATCATCTACGTACATGCTGCCAGCTCCTTAAAGACCATACAAAAACAGTAATTGCTCCCTTTTTTCTTGTGATTCTTTCATTAAAGCTGCTCCTTGGCCTTTTTTACTTACAAAAGCTGCTCTTGGAATGAATATGAGTAATGTCTGATAAAGACTAAAATGAAGGCAAACACTGAAATACTAAGAGCAAAGTGTATCTTCAGCTGTGCCTGTCATAATTTTCAAGTATTTTTTACTTCCAGTAGGAAGGAAGGCTGCAATGGGCATGTGTCAATCTGCATCTGTGTGCTGTGATAAGATGAAGAGTGAACTAAGTTTTGTAAATGTTTTTGTTTCTCTATTTTGCTCATTTTTTTCTTTAAAAAAGAAAACTCTTCTAGCTATCAATTGTCTAATTTCAGCCTTCATCGGACAAAATTCTTCTCAGGAAGAATGTGCCTGTTGAAAATGTATTTTGTGTGGCATAACAGAAAGAACATGGAAGGTAAGCCTAGAGTTGTATAGTTTCCAGCAGGAACTGAAGAGCACATACATTTTTTGAACCTGCTATTTTTGAAACCTCTATTGTAAGAAACATGCTTCTCTACAGAAAGTCAGTCACAGCTAAAGGAAGCAATGCAGTTTTTAAACACAGGATGCACGGAACCATACCTATTTATAAAAATGGGTCAACTCATAAACATTTCTTTCTAGATCAAATTCTGAAGTACCATGCAAGGAATTCAGTGCAGTGCAAGATGTACTGTAAGTGAATGGAAGCAAATAACAGGGAGAGGGGGACACCACAAGCATCCATAACACAAGATAGCTTTGTGGCAAAGTCCTGACATAAGCAAAGAAGGACAAGTCAATGAAAGATTATCAGGGAGC